TGTGTGTGTGTGTGTGTATGTGTGTGTGTGTGTATATATATAGATATTTATGTGTTTTATTATCTATACTTATATAGCAAACCATGCGTATTCATTCTCATCCATTGGTTCTAAAATCAATTTTTACTATTTATTTGTGATAGACTTTGGAGAATGAATATGTCAGACGTTGATTGACCGCTTGCTAAAATATCTCTGAACAGATATTTTTCATTCTTCACTACTTTCCTTCTCTATTCAATTTTTCTAGAATTAAAATTTCTGAATGATCCGTTCATTTTTCTAACATCATAACAATATATCACTCATTAAAGTTCATTTATTCTATGTAATTTCATTTTCTTGTGATTACATCAAAATGAAATAATTTTGATATTAATGGCAAAATTTGTAATGCATTGGTTAATTTTGTATAGAAAAGAAGAGAGATGCAGAGTGTTGATTTTTTAGCTTAAATAAAGCTTTACACTGCTTTAATGTAATGCAAATTTCCTCCTCACTACGGCATGCACACAATGACATAACTGCAACATGGCTGCATGCATGCAATAATGATACGATTGCATGAACAAATCAAATATCCATCTTTCATTTGTGACAAATTGTACACATTCATTATCTTTGTTGCCTTATTATCTCAGACTTTTCGTTAAATTTTATAAGTGAAACTTTAAAAAAAAGAGAACAATACTTTACTCCATGATCCTTTTTTTAATCCTAAATGTTATTGTTATTGTGCCTTTTTTTTTTGTTCTAATGCTATTTTATTTCTTTTCCAGTTAAAGATATAATCTAAGCGATCTTTGAACTCATTTCATTTGAAAACTTTATTGGTGCGTAAAATTTGTCCTAGTAAATTTACAAACATTTTTTAATTTCATAAGTCTTTTTTAGTAGAAATTACAGGTTGGATTTGTTTAAAAAGTAAAAAATGTTTAAACTTGAATTGTTATCGATTTTATTATTTTGGTGAAAATTGAAATATATTTAGCATGAGAGATACCTTAACAATCTTACTTCCAATAACTACTTATATGTTACGCTGTTGACTTTTCTAGCCACTAATTTTATTAACTTTAACTAATGAAAATTTAAATAAACGAAAAATATATGTTTTGTAAAAATATTGAGTTGAAAATAAAAGAGTGATTTTTTGAAAATTTGTTCGAAATTGCGTCTTTTTTTTTGCCATCTTTTTGCTACAAAATTCCAATCATTTTTTCCAAAAATGATTGGAGTTTATTTTCAGGTCGTGAAACATTCAAATCAACAACAACATTTTAGTTCGTTCTATTTTATCAATTAAATTTCAGACGCTCTTCATACGTGGCTGCGAAAAACAAAAATGCTTTCAAGCGATACAGATGTTTGTTTTAATTTATTGAATCTCTTTTCATATCTTTTTGAATTAATAAAAATAAACGAAATAATACGAAATAGACAAAATTAGTAATATGTTTACTACTTGAAAATTTAAATAAACGAAAAAAAAAATGTTTTGTCAGATTCACTGTGTCGCTGATCATTTGAACTACGCAAAAATTAGCCTTAGATTTTCTTTGAATTTCTATCCAAAAAAATTAGCTATAAATATGATGAGTGATCTAATCCATTGAGAACTCAATATTTCAGTCATTTCAGAATCTCAAATTTGATAAACCAATCGAAGTGACCAATGACGACGGTGATTCTACAGTGAATGGTTATTTGAAATTTTCTAAAACTATTCAATGAAAAGTTTTTAATTAAATTCTGCTTTAAGCTCAATAAACTTAATCAAATAAATAAATTGAAAAATTGAAAATATTTAGAAATCAGTTATGGTCCAGGAATAGTTCAAAAGTTATGTGCTCGATTTTTGCAATTATCCAAGGAGCCCAATGCAGTGCCACTCTTGCGATCACCGCGTTTTAAACGACGAAAATCATCTGCAGAAAATAACTTTGCTGTAATCAGTGAAATTCGTCGTTGCAACACACAAACTGTTATCCCATCAAAGCCTACGTTAGTTCTTTTCACAAATTTTATTAAATTTATCAATTAAATTTTCGAATTTAAAATTTTATTAATGTTTTGAAATTTTTACTAATTTTTATAATTACAGAAATAATGTTATTCCTAATGCTACAAAAAGTGATATGAACTTCTGTGATGGAGAAAAATGTGAATTACATATTGTACCACCGGTGAAGGTATATTTTTTGAAAATATTTGAAATATCACAAAGAAAACAAGAAAACTAAACCTGAAAATATTTCGATCAGATTTGCGCTGCCATAATTTCCTTCCTAAACCGATTCATTGCAGGCGGCTGATACGGTAGAGTTGAACGGTACATATTTATACCATGCTACCGTAATTCCTAGTGATATGAAAGCAAATCGCAAAGCAAAAAAAATCGAATCAATACGGGAAAAGTTCGAAAAAACTTCTGCCACCTCATTTATCCTTCCACATAAAAAGGTCTGTCGAATTATTATTTTGAATGAATACTGCAACCAATTCTTTCATAATTTTCAAATATTTTTTCTTGTTTTCTTAAAATTTCTTTTGTTTACAGCCGAATAAAGCTCATTTTCGACGAGAATACAATCTGCTTACTGTAAATACCGAGTCTTCAAATAGACAACCGGAATGCATAAAAATGCATGGAGAATTGAGAAAAGCTCAGCATGACGGTTTGCGCTGATATTTTTTAATTGATGTATTAAAAATTGAAAAAATATAGATATCTACATTAATTTTAATCAAAATTTCTATTCATATTTTTTCAAGCTATAAACGAAACTTAAATTTTTCTCTGGACTGTCAAATCAGAGTTTTTTTAGAGAGCTTTCATATAAAAGAAGACAAAAGCGAGATGCAACCATCAGTTTTAAGCGATACAATAAGGGTAGTGGTGAAATTGTCACCATCTAATGATAATCTAACTGTCACACAGTTTTCATCAGTTCCAACTGTATCATCCCTGCAAAACATCGATCATTTTGAGGTAATTTTGCGCTTAAAATTAGCAAAGTACCATGTAATATACTATTAATTATCATAAAGAAACTAACATTAAAATTATTATTTATAAAATGACAAATGCAAATAACTCTCTAATATGACTTATTTAATCTAATACATTCATTTTATTGGCAATATAATTATTATAATTATATCCTCTGTTCTATTATTACCATCTCTCATCCATTTCTTTTTATTCTCTAATTTAAACGTTTTTCCATAATATTTAATCGTATCTGAATGCTATTATCAAAAGTATAAATGATATATACGCATAATTGCTGCATCTATATAGCAGGAAGAGATGAATAACGATCGGAGAGGAAGGATTGAGAAAGATGTTAATAATGAAATAGGCCTTAATGGATCATCTCAGTTTGGAGCTATTTCCCGTATTACAATCAATACCAATACTTCAGGTAATTTTGTACTTAAATTTAAATCTAATGCTTCTCTAAAACAATCACTTCTTACATTTAATACAACAAATTTCAGTAATGTAACAAAAATGGCAAGAAATTAAATAAAAGTAGTATTTTTTCCATTACTAACAACTATAAACTCTATCCATTGTTCGTGCGAGATTTCTTTTTTTGGATGCAATAAATTTGCAATTTTTAATTAATTCATTATGACTACAATATAAACATCTCACATTTTGCATAACTAATTAACTTGTAATTGTTATTTTAACATCTTACATTTGTATAAATATCTTTTCTCGTTTTTATATCATTTTAAATATTACTTCCATTGGTGATTGTTAATTGCCTTTTAAAAAGAATCCATCTATACATTGAAAAAGTTTTGATTTTTTTCTAATTGGGTTTCTTTTGAGTTATCAATTTCGATTGTCTGAAGAACTAGCAATATAATATATATCGAATACTTGAGATTTTTACTTTTCAGTTTTACCTTATTCTAATTGAGAGTCAGTCATTTACAGTTACTATACCATAACAAAGTTGCCAACTCTTTGGAATATATAATTCTTTAATCAAACAGGCAGAATAATATAATTTTTTTTGATTGATAGGAATTAGCAATGGAAAGAAATCAAATCAGACTATTTCCTGAAATAGACAGAATGTAAATCA